GTACCTCGTCGACTGGAAGGAAGCCCTTCCTGCCGGCGAGGTACGTGTACCTCGCCGGCTGGAAGGAAATCCTTCCGGCCGACGATCTCCTCTTTCCGGCCTCGGGTATCCTTGGGGATACCCGGATATCCGCCGGGATTTCACGGAAAAGGGGGCATCCGCACCCGAATCCGCACCCGCCAGCGGATATCCCCTGGCACCGGCGGGTATCCGCCAGCGGATAGCGGATATCCGCGACGGATTATCCCCGCCCATCTCTAATTGGGATAAACCAATAAGTTTTGAGAAAAGGACGTGAAAAAGGGTCTGATAAAAAGAAGAAGAAAGAAAAGAAAAAGGAAGAAAAGAGGAAAAGGAAAGAATAATATTGGCAGTTGTGAGCAGAGGGAGGTCGGAGTATCTAAGAAGGGAGTCCATAGTCGTGTATCCCCAATCAAGTCCACCAGCCGTAGTCATTCTGTGGAGCGGAAATCCTGGGTGCTCACAGCGTGGCCAAGGTTATGCTTATACGACTTTTATGTAGAGATACCCGGAGGTGCACCAGAGGAATTGGACTTACTTCTGTACTTCCAGTTGTTCTCCTTCCTCTGGGAAATGATATGGCTTCAGTTTTGAGATATGGAAGGTTGGGTGTCGACGATCTCCTTCCGGAAGCTCGAGTTCTACGTCTTGTCCGTGATTTGTTACTCGCACAACGCGGTAGGGGCCTTCAAAACGTTCTTTGAGTTTGTCAACCCCCCCTTGATGTCGGCCCCTCCAGTCTGCCAAGTCTAGCAGTGCCCAAGAGTCTGGTACTAGCGGTGGTTGCTCCCGGTGATGTTTGTTGTGTTGGATTGCTTGTCTTACTCGACTAGTCCACAGTGCATCCCGTGCCTCTTGCCAAGCGCCTTCACGCAGCTTGGACCACGTCTTTAGTGCTGGCAGTGTCTCAATGGAGGAGTCGCTCGAGGGGAATAGTTGTGGCTTACGTCCGAATACCAGCTCGAAAGGGCTGTATCCAGTCGCTACGTTGACGGCTGAGTTGATGGCGAATTCCACTGCCGGGAGAGCCTCCAACCATTTTCCTTGTCGTTTGGCCGTGAAGGTGCGGAGAATTTGTCCAACGGTCTTGTTGGTCCTCTCGCTACGTCCGTCGGCTTGAGGATGGAAAGAGGTTGTCATATGGAATTTCACGTGCATCTTCTCCATCAAGGACTTCCAGAAATGGGATGTCCACGTCTTATCTCGGTCACTTAGGATTGATTGTGGCGTTCCAAATAGTGCAAGCCACCCATTGAATAATCTACTTGCAGATCGTTCCGCAGTGTTGGTTTGCAAACACGGAATAATCCGAGTAAATCCGGACAGTCGACAAGTACATGTCAGAATCATGTCGTAATGATTTGAGGTCTTCAGTGGTCCCACAAAGTCTATCGCTAGATCCGACAGTGGTGTCCTAGGAAATGAAGGTGTGAGCATTTTCCCCGTTGGCGCTGTTGTAGGGGCTTTGGTTTTTTGACAAATCACACATGACTGTACAAACTGTGCGACCTGCTTTGCCATTTGAGGCCAGAAAAAATCGCGGCGGAGCTCAACAATCGTCTTCAAATATCCCAGGTGTCCTAATCGAGTGTGTGTCTCCTTCATCAGCTCCCGTCGTAGATCTCCGTTATTTGGGATGACCAGGCGTCCATCGATGAAAAGCAGCCCATCCACTTCAGCGCAGTCGTCTCTTAGGGGAAGTACTTTCTTCACTGATTTGCAGAAGGCGTCCTCTGCGTATCCAGCCACAATCTTCGCCCTTATCGCTTCGGAAAGTGTGCTCCCCAATTCAGTGAGAGCAGCCACACACGCCACATCCGCCTGAGTAACTTCCTGCTCCTCCTCCGTGATCCCTTTCCTCGAGAGCGCATCAGCCACCGAATTATCTTCACCCTTGATATATTCAAAGTGTATGTCGAAGTCAGCAAGAATTTCCAGCCATCGTGCTTGCCGTCTGCTCAAGTTCCGTTGCTTCAACAGGTAGGTTAAGGAGTGATGATCCGTCAAGACATTAACTTTCATTCCAAGAAGCAACATTTTCCACTTTTGGAGCGCGTGTATCACCGCCAGTAACTCCTGTTCGTGGACCGGGTAATTACGTTCCGCTGGCGTCATCAAGTGTGATTTGTACGCAATGGGGGATGCCCCCTTCCAGTCTTTACCTTGGAATAGTGCGGCCCCCAATCCAGATCCACTGGCGTCGGTGAATAGCCACAGCGGGTCATCTGAGTTGTAATCGACATTCTTCAGGCAGGGCAGTGAAGTCATAATCCTCTTGA